TTCTCTTTAATTAACAGCAGTAATAACGTAGTTACGTGACAAATTTGATTTTTCAAAATTCTTTGATAACACATTTACATGGAAGATTTTTTTTGAATCATCATTTTTTACAAAATAAAATCTTATCTTACAATGCTCATGACACAAAAACTCGTGACTCTCTTCCCTTACGTTATTTGAGATTTGCAATAGAAAATAAAAACACAATAGACAAAAAATTTTATCCGCAAAAATTTAACTGTTCTCGATATTTTTTACTACTGTACTTTATGATAAACATTTTGGTGAATTATGTGGGGATAAGTTAATCACTGATTTGAATGATGATAGGTTTTAATCCGTTTCAAACATTTTATGAGATATTTAAAACTCGTGGTGATGTTATTCTCTGGACACAAAAATTCAAACGTGAAATCATGAAGTGATTGTAATTGTATTGGAGAGAAGTTTCTCATGAACCTTACATTACACAATCCGTTTGGATGACCTTTAATCGAAGGTACCAGTGTGGTGCAGAAACGGTACAAACTCATGTTCATTGAAAGATTGAATTTCTTGCATTCATAATCGGATAAGATTTTCATTTGAAAATATTTTTTGCGTCGACGAATATTAATTGTTCGGATGTCTTTGATTCCATTTCGGTTGGATACTAGTACTGTATCATCCCCGTAACCAATCGTTTCGAGAAGGACATCTTCGTAAGGCTGCATCACCAGATCATAATCTAATTTTTTCAATTTTGGATCTTCTTCCAGTCTTAAACTGTCTTTTAACTAAAAATCTCATTAAATTTGTATTGTACCGAATGAAATCTCTCGGCAATCCTTAATAAAAGTTCTAAATACCTTAAGAACCGCAATGTCGTGTTCTCCAGGAGCATATTCACTGGGAACGTACATCTTCTCAACTTGTCCAATAGTTTCAGCGTAAAATGTGAACACTGGATTTTTTCTTGCGATAGTAATATCGTCGAGAATAAATTTATTGCTTCTAGTTTCTATGACGCAATTAGCGGCAGTTATAATGTGGTAATTGCTGATGATTGTACCACCGCAAAAATGACCATGTTTATTTTGAAGTGATACATAACAATCGAATGTGGTGTCCAAATCCATTGATTTGTTATTCAGATTTGACGACTGTAGTGCGAATACTGAATTTTATGTGATTACACTTAGGGATGATTCGAGTAATAAATGTTCGTGTACGTGATAAAACCTCAAAAAATTACCGTTATTTGAGTTGAAGGAATAGAACAATAAACTAATCACATTGACCCACAAAACAGTGAATTCCATTTTCAGCGTTTGGCGGTAGCAATATTCCGCTTAATATCGTTTTCAATAATTCTTCAAGTATTTGAGGTTAAGGTATTCTAACAGAAGAAGTACATTTTTAAAAATCTTAAAAATATAAATTAGATCGAAAGTTATTAACAATTAAAGTAAATTGGAAAAGCAAAATTTCGAAGTTCAAAATTTTTTCAAGTCATAAAGTGGTTTTTGTTATTTGTTTACACAACTGCATTTAAAACAAATTTGTCGGACTGTAAACTAAAAAGCGACCGTGGATTCGAAATAAACGCCCAAAATCACGTAGGAATTGCCTTATTATGTGATCTGACACCCCGTTGCACACATGATCATATCCAGCCCCCGGAATTAAATCAGATAGGATACAATTTCAGACGGTTTTTTGATTGTTCACTTTTTTATTCTAATTGCTGTTTTGATTAAATGTCATATTGAGACCCTCGTAAGTATCGAAAGTATTTTAACATGCGAGAGAACACAGACACAGGAGATAAATAAAAAGGGAAAAAGTATAGGCTCACGGAGAAAAATAGACCCAACACTCGAAAGCTATGGTTTTTCGATAGAAAAAGGTACTTAAAGCTTATTTGGAAAAGCAAATCGAAATTTGAAAGGCTAATTAAGAAAAGAAATCAAAGAGATAGGGAGAAATTACCAAAAAGAAAATAGATGATTCATTAAATATCATATAAATAATTATGAACTATCTAGAAGTCATAAAACCAACCTAACGTTACGTAAATCAACAAATCCATTCATGTTCGAAAACCCATTAGACTAACTATACTTTACCACTTTCAAGTGATAACGACGAATTCTTGAGCAATCGATTAGATATCGCATGCATCGAATGACCCGATGGAATCCCAGCCTGCAGTGTACATATATAGTAGCTTTTCCTTTCAGTAATTTTGTCATCACTGTTTTAAAATATGGGCTTAGCCAGTTGTGAAAAAAAAAATTTTTTTTTTAACATGCTGCTATGATTAAACCGTTGTATTAATAAACAAAATGTTTAGTATTTATATGTAAGCAAAGTAAAATTAACTATGTAAAACATTTTTCTTATAGATATTTGTTATACTAACACAATTGAAGAGCCTGAGCTGTATTCGGCTGTACAGTTGGGTTGGTGGCTATTGATCTAGGCTTTTAATTGCATCCTGGCTGATATGGTAGATACCCCAATGCTTTGGCTCTTTATAATATGAGGTGTACTTACGTGACAATTAGCTAGATGCAACTGCTATCTATGCGTCTAGTGGCGGTACTCCACAGCTTTGTTCTCTCTGTTGCCGCACATCGGCACTGTGTGGGGGCGCCAAGTCCCAACCAGCTTCAGCGCTGCTAGTGGAGAAAACTAGAAATGCTGTGGGCATTGTACACAAAGCTCATTTCTGTACAAAAGCATAAATAAATACCATGTTTATTCAAAAAACATTTCTTTTATTGGATTGACAACTAATATTCGATAACAAATTACAATTTTTTATGAGACAAGTGACAAAAACAACTAGAGCATTGATTATTTCGTCACAAATACGTAAATTTATTACCTCATATTTGCTAAAATGTGAATTTTATTTTCAGAACGACGTTTTAAATGCTTAATTAATACAATTTGAAAATTTTTCTGTAGTTATGATGTGAGTAAAGGACGTACTAAATTTTACTAACTTATATTTAAAATTATTTGATCAGTACATAATCGATAGACTTCGCTAAAACAAAGAAATTCAAAATCTTTTCAAAGTATTGACATAACAAGATTGCTCCTTGAAAGAAAGAGATGTGACTGAGCTGGCGAGAAAATCATTATTATTATTATTCCATCAAAAACTCTGTTATTATTAACATTATTAATATTGTTATAACTATCGTCGTTGTAAGGATTTCAAAAATTGTATTACATTTTTAATTTAAAGTGGTTTGTCCCCTCGACATTCTCAGTCCATTCAATTTAGTAGGTGGTAATTCATTTTTNGATAGACTTCGCTAAAACAAAGAAATTCAAAATCTTTTCAAAGTATTGACATAACAAGATTGCTCCTTGAAAGAAAGAGATGTGACTGAGCTGGCGAGAAAATCATTATTATTATTATTCCATCAAAAACTCCAAGGGTAGATATATAATATTTTCATTTATTTTTCTTAATTCATTTTCAAGTATATCACCAAACCTGAGCTATTGTTAATTTGAATCAGCACGAAATTAAAAAATATTAAAGCGCTGTAATACTCACATGCTTATAATATGGAAGTACGCCTTATGCGACAATTTTTTAACTTTTATGGTCTTACATCTTTTTTCCATTTACTAAGGCTATTTAAGTTTTTTTTACTCCCTTGCCTCAGTTTCTTGAAATCAATTTTTTTTTTTTTTTTTTTTTTTTGTAAACTAGTTGAAAAGCGTACGTTTAATAAAACGGTTTTATGTTTCTAGTATAAAAATAGTAGTACAATAATAGAAGGACTTACCACCATTCACGTTTGTAGTCTAGTAAAAAAAATCGACGTTATTTTGTACACATTTTGAAGGGGAGTAACGGAAAGGATACAAGGTCCTCAGATTTTTTATTTACATTCAAAAGAGCGTTAAAATCTAACAAAAATTTACCTAGTTTTGCAAGAGTTGCTGAAATAATTGTTAGTTAAAAAATAACATTAAGAAAGATGTATGTTAATTTTAGCAATACTTTTTGCCTAGCTAAAAACACAACATTTTAATCAAATATTGCTTCTATACTCTAAATATTCAATCAATTATTGAGTTCATAATGTACAAAGTATGTCTACAGGTTAAAACATATTTTACAGTGATCAATTACAAAAAAAGCTTTAATGATTATTGTTAGTGTCTCGTAATTATGTCTTACTTTTTAAAATTATTTTTGAGTCCCAACCAATGTATGGCATTGTCTGATATTTTTGTTATAAAAAAAGTGCAACTTATAAATCACTTATTATCGATGTAAAACGGATTTCAAACCTAGTGCGAAGCTGTTCTTCATTGGTCAAATGTTATGTTTATATGAGTGTATTTACGTAACCAAATAATTATTATCTTAGTAGGTTCAAATATTTTTAGTAGCTGCTCAATGTCAAAAGTAACAGCTTGCATTACAGAGAAAAATTTTGCCAACAGTTGTAGAACAAAATAAAATACAACTCTTTATTATACTTCATATTTTACTATGAAATGCAATGTAGATGCTCTGTAATGCAAAATAAATACGAAAACAGAGAAAAAATTGTTTTTTAATACTGCCCCTCCTCCCTTAAAAAAAATGGACTAAAAATTTTACAACAAAATTGTAAGTACAAAAGTTGTAGAGCTCATTAAAATCGTTTTACAGCATAAATACGAAAATTTTCTACATCACATTTGTGGAAGAAACGTTTAATACAAAAGTTATGGTGTGATTAAAATTCTTTTTTTTTTGGGTTTGCCATTTTCCTCCGTGCAATGTAGTTTGAATTCAAAAAATAACGAAAATCATTTTAAAATGGCTAAGACTTGAATATGATATTAAACTCTAAGAATAATCTAAAAATAAAATCCTGTCAGTAATTAAAACAACATTTTTTGCTCTGGCAATCTGTGGACTGATCGTGCCTTAACAATACAAGACATAGTTTTTTTTTTGCATAAATTCATCGAATCGTTTCTTATTTTGATTTCAGGTAATTACTGGATTCTTCGTATACGATGGCCGGATTACGAGCCAAAGCACTACGATCCCAACCAATGGTGCGACAAGACCTTGTACATTTTTGCATTGGTACATCTAGGCATCGTATATTTTGCCGTCTCCGTAAGCATCGTCGTCGGCATCGGTCTACTGTTTTGCAGAATTCTAGCGTGTCCATGGCCAGAAAGGTGAGTTAACGTTTTATCCATTTATGATTTTTAATTTCAGGAGATAAATTGCTGTATTTGCATTTCAACGATTTTTCTTATTGTTTTAAAAAGTACAAAATATTGATTTCTCAACCTAAAGAAATAAAAAATTTTGAGTGAAGAATAACAAAAATTGTACACTAAGAGAAAAAAATAATAGAAATTATAGAGAAATTCCAGCAAAAATCACCACTTTGCAGAATAAATTGGATGCAAGTTGACGAAAAAGGAAAAAATTATTATTTTTAACAGTAAAGATTATAATTTTTACTATTCAAAATACAGTTTTTACTACTAAAACAATAATTTTTACTGTTAAAAATAATAATTTTTTCCTTTTTTGCCAGCTTGCATCCGATTTATTGTGAAAAATGATAATTTTTGCTGGAATTTCTCTATAGTTTTTTTTATTTTTTATAGCTGTACTTACGATCGACCAAAAGTACAACCAATAATTTATCGACGAAAGGTTAACAAAAACTAAACAAATCTTGAGTGGAATATTTTTTACTGCTAAATAATCTTTTACAAAAGTTTCGTGCGTGCTCGTGTTGAAGAAACAGTTACGAGCTTTAAAGTTAATGTCATGTGCAACGTAGTACACGCACGACACAAGCAACTTGTGACTCTAAGTTGGCATGTGTAATACTACACGTAAAATGAAGATAACAAAATCAGTGAAAAATAACCTGTTGTTTGTAGTTCGTAAGAATCTCACGCGTGCACTTATACGTAGTTACTCTGGGGCATGCAATGCACGATTGACTTTTTTTTTTTATATTGTTGCTTTCATGACCCAATAGGACAAAGCGATCTAGATGAAAAATAATGCCGCAGTGTAGTTTGCTCGTTTTTATTTTTGCATCTTTTGCTCGGTCACCGGGAATTTTCTTCAATTAACGTGCCCCACATGCATACAAATCGCGGATTAACGACTCCACTTAATCTGGAATTTCAAATTAAAGCTCGGTTTAAAAAACGAACATTTGGGTTGAAATCTTGAGTATTTGAGCTTAACTTTATCTCGGACTTTTCATTCTCGAAAAGCACAACATTTTTCATATGGTGTGATTTGACCTTAATAGCATTTTGTACTTATTTCGCAAGAATCTAAAATTTTTTTTTTCTGTTTATCAATAGTAAATCATAAATAAATTAGGATCTTCATCCTCTTAAGTTTAAGTTAGCGCCAAATAATCAGCCATATTCTTACAACTGATGATCTTGATCATCGCACAAGGTTTTTAGATCAAAAATAGAAATAATTAAAAATATTTTTTTCGAATATTCATAAAAGCAATGGGTTCTTTCTAGTGTCTTTCCACTTTTTAAATATTTTCTAGAACCAAAATATAAGATAAAAAGTGGGCCAAAACAAAAGAATTCTTGAATCACTAAATTCGTAAAAGTAAACAAGTGTTAGGAAATTTTGTGAATTTTATCAATGTTTTTTAACAACTAGTTTTATTATTAATGTAACTTTAACTCTATAATTCAAGCTTTTAAGGACATCAATGAACTTGGGCTTGTTTTTTTAATAACAAAAAAATTAGTGGTAAAAAATATGGAAAATATGCCACAGTTTTGTGACATTGTAAATCGTTATTATAAAAACTTTTATTGCTTTCTCTGCGTTTTTGGAAAATCATTGAATCTCCTTAATAATAAAAATAAAAATGATTTATAAATATTTATGCTATCTAAATATCATATGGTTTAACTTTTGCAATTATCATTGTGATGTGAACTACATTCAGATAATATGTTGACCTGTAGTATTTTAATAAGCTATGAGAAAACTATTGTTCAATAACGCTATACCCATTACATCCGGCTTATGCATGTTATGAATTTTAAAAAGTTTTAAAATTTATCCAAACACGCGATCCATACACATCCAAGTAATTATCGTGAATCTTTCGAAAATAACATAACCTATAAGGTAAAAGTACCACTTTAGAACGGTTTTCATAAATTGTTTTCTTATAATTTTTAGAAATAAAAAAAAAAAAAATATTGAATTATTCCATATGAATTTTGTTTCTTCTGAAGCACTTAATCTATATCTCAGTATATTTTAATTTCTAAATCCATTTAAAATGTTAATAAATTTATTTATTGATAAAACTTCAATGACGAATTATGTCCGTCGAATGAAACATCACAAAAATTTATGTCCTACTTTTTAGACATAATGTCCCCCGTATAAACACACATGTATTTTATATGCACTTAGTGTGTTTCGTACGAGGGGCATCATGTGTTGGAGGTTATGTTCCCGATTTAGTTTAAATCGGCACTTCACGATAATTTTTTTTTTTTTACCAGAACATGCAACAAATTAAAATTTTTACTGCTTAAAGAAGCTTACACTTAAAATATTGTACGAGAATAATTTTTTTTTTTTTTTTTTTCATCAGAACCTCACCATCGCGTGCATGCTCACTTGGGTAAGGAGCGTTTCTCGCGTGGAGGTATTGTTTCCCTCTCCTCTCAGTGGGTAGTTTGCTCTTCCCCGTAGAAGTTTAAGCGGGGGTTGGGGNACTGTTTGAAGAAGTTTAAACTTAAAAGATTACACAAAAATAATTTCTTCATAAAGAATCGTCTAGAACTCTGTATCTTACTGATTTATGTGGGCAACATAATTTTTTGTGTTTCTAAGTGGTGTTTTTACCTCATGAAACTAGCAAACGGTTTTTACTGGCATTAAAAAACCAAGCAATCAAATTTCATTATAAAAAAGCTTATAAAAATAAGCATGGTCCTACCTTCACGTGCCAACAGGTACAAATAACCAAGACAGTCGATGCGCGTGAGAGACGACTCTGATGCTTCCTCGGGCAGTGTTCGACGGCAGCAGCCGCAGGACAACCTCAACACTTCAAAACCTCAAAACCTTGAGGAGGTAGCGGAAGAAGACGAGGAGGATCTGAGCGCCGAGCCGCTTGGCAAGTCGACCCCCGCTCTTGAAGCTGTTAGAAAGACAGCCGAGGAAAAAGTACAGCAAATCGTCACGCCCGAGATAAAGTACTCGAGCAAGGTGCAGTTCCGGGCCCCCGATATCATCGAGCTCTGATCCCGGCTTTCCTCGCTGAGGCTGGCTTTTACACGTGGTTTGCTGGTTTAACACTATTTTTTAGGTTAGGTTAGGTTATGTTTGGAGTTTGACCAAAGGCATATTGACATTGTCGGCTTTTTGACGAGGTAGACGGAAAAAATTATAATTTGCTACCGTTTTTCATCGAATTTTCGCACCATTACTCCCTTTCATTTTGTTTATTATCAATTAGTTAAATGTTATGTTAGGTAACACATACGCGAAGCAGCAGTCGATTTTTGCACGAGTGTCACAGTCATAGTCTGTACGAGTTGCGTATTATACATGTTTATTATTTTTATTTCTTATTGTGATAAGATTTTAACTTTGAGTGTATATAAAAGTTGGATACTAAAAATCTATCGATACTTCAAAATTCCTGAAACATAGACCACGCTCTTTGTTCTTGCTCCAAAAGAGATATATACGTTCAAAAAGCAAAAGATTCCCCAATACCAAACTCAACGATTTGAGGCGTGAGCATCTGATAAAGTTGCAATTTGATCGTTTAAAATGATACACAAAATAGTAAAAGGAATTTAGTTTTCGTCCTACTTTGGACTAATGTACATGATTGTTAAATCGATTCGCGTGAAAGACAGGCTCGCGCTTTATTTACCTCTTCCCCTGAAACGAATAGACTCACGCGGGCGACCCAGACGATTATTTTTAGCGTCGACAAAACAAAACCAAAAAAAATTCGTGATTATTATTTATCAAACGCGGGACAAATAACGATTCAACAATCGTCATACTGCTCGTTACGCACGATTTACTATCGTATCAAAAAAAGCATCTCGCAGGAGAAGCGAAAAATTCCAAACGTCTGCCTCGTCTGAAAGAGCCGCCGGTCCATGTGTGGAAGATCCTCTCTTGTCGCGTTATTTATTCGCGCAGTGGAGAGTCACTCGTGCGCCCGCGTCTTATCGATCGCTCGACATAGCTGTAGAAACATGCACCCTCAGAGCGCAGAGAGCGAGATAACGACGCGACTTGACAAACACTCACGAGAAAGCGGCAAAGAATTGTGAACCTCACATAACTTTTTTTTTTTTTATTATTTTATTGCACATGAGTGGAAAAAATCGGTAAGAGTTTTTTTTTTCTTTTACACCATTGATACAGCGAAGAACGGATCAGACATAACGATATGCAAACTCAACTACTGTATGTACAACGAGAGTTTACATGAGCGATTCCACTCGATTCATCTTTCTCGGTGATATATAAACTGTGTGTAAGTATAATAATGTACACGCGTCGGTGTATAGATTGACTTAGCGGGGGGTGTTGTTTGTGTTCGGTTGAAGCACAAAAGTAAACTGTGAGTGGGCGAGGAATCTTTTCTTTTGGGCTTTCGAGTGCAGAGCGAGTTATTTGTTCCTTCTTTATTTGTATTTTTTATTTTGGTTGTTCCTGTAATAAAATATATCCGAGTAGTGTGTAAGCGTAGAGAAATAGAGCGTACAGATTTTTGTAAGCCGATGATTTTTATTGAATTTTTTCACGATTTGTTACGATGACGAAGACGACAAGAAATGCTTAGAAATGGACATTAGAGTTAAACATGTAGGATTAAACGTTTTGAGACTAAGATTTTTTTCTATGTTTACATGTGTACAGATGTAATAAGTGTGGTGTGTCAATAACTCGTGGAAGCGAACGTATTGTCCCGTAGAAATTAACGTGTAATGCGATATAGAAAAACGAGTGTCAATTATACAACTGAATCTTAACGTTTATTGTACACGATGTATTACACATTTTGATGTAATAGTCGGGTGTAATAAGTTTGAGTATAATTTGAGCTATTAAACCATAAGTGACGCCGTTCTGGTGGGAGTAGTTTGAACTCAACTCTGAGGCTGTGGTCCAGACTGCCATGCTCTGTACCATACTTACTTGGTAGTAAAAGAGAGGTTAAATTACATAACCTTACACTACACGATCATGATATGGATTATGATAAAAATTCTTTGTTCATTGTCATGATAATCGCATATCTACATCACATATTCAAATTCCAGAGTTTTATTGACCTAAGAAATTATAAAATCACTTTTTCTCCTCATTTTCCTTGAATTTAAGTGATTTGCATACTATTTTCACAATTCTAAAAGATTACTTATAAAAAAAGGTACAAATAAAGTTTTTATTTGTATAGGTATATCATTTACTTTTGGAGTTATAATGATTTTAGTGATAAATCCCATAACTGTTACATTGGTAAGTTTTTAGTCACGATTTTCTGAAAAATTAATAGGTTAACCCTAGTATTTTTTTATCGCAAATTAATTAGGCACACTTTATTTACATAATTTCAAAATTTTAGCGATTATTATCATTTCAACAAAAATCACCCAAGCCACCTTAAGACATATAAGCTTAAACTTTTTCAAAAAAATTCATTTCATAAATTTTTGGCAATTTTGTAGGAGACAGAAAAATTGTGATATTTTGACTCAAATAGAAGCAATGTAGGTTAAGTTTCCAACTACTCTTACCAGAGTAGCGCTCCTCCTTGTTAACAGTTCCAATTATACATTGTTTGTAAATCTGACACGTTAGTGCAGTTACATACATAGCGTAAGCTATATCGACGACATTGTAAATACACATAGAAGGAATTTATTTTTAACAAGCGAGCAGCCAGATATTTCTGGCTTGTCACCATGAAAAATTAATTGGGCATCTCGTCCTGCTCTTTGAATTTCACTTGGATAGGATTAGATAAATAACTGTATAGATGTAAGGTTTCTCACGCGGTCAAGGGTCTCATTAAACCCACTGTCTCTCCCTCGCTGTGGGAATGTGTGTTTAAATAAGCGTCTTCTGTTTTTCTTTCTGTCTAACATCAACACTAACTTTCTAATCGAGATCGTATTTATCTCTTTCTCCTATTAACACTTCTTGCGGTGTGGAGGTATGTTGATTCATCCAGTACTCAAAAAAAAGATTTTCTAGCGAAAAGGGAGAGTAAAAAATGGAAGGATTACTAATTTCTTTGAAGAATTTACACATGTAATACAATGGTTTACTTAAGGAGTTTTTTTGGGCAACTTGGTGCTCCTTAGAGAGAATTTTGCGCACCAACCTGTTCTCTTTTACATTAAGACCTATTGACTACGAGAACTTTTCAGGTGGCGCCTCCAACGCCAGAGTTCAGTACCAAATTTCCAGCATGAAAGCATTGGATCTTATGGGAATGGTTCTATTTTAATTAACAATTCCATTTTCATGTGATAATTTATTGAGTTAGTACTTCTTACACTAAGGTGGATGTCCCAGTACTCGCTCACTTAAGCAGACGAAATGTCCCAATAGTCGGTCACTTTTTTTCTTTTACGGGCCTTCGTTATATTTTTAAATGGGTTTATATATTAACTTGTTTTAAAAGAGTAATTGCTTAGTGTCTTACCCGATTTATATATGCTTTGAAAATTTATAGTGAAAAAATCAGCCAGATGACCGCCTATTGGGACATGACCGAGTACTAGGACATCGACCTTATATTGATATACTTTATCTTATTCAAATTATTTTGGAGTGATCACTACACTCTCTCCCTTACATGATCGAAATTAATTCCATACTAGACAGGCAAGGTTAGTCAGCTCATCAGATGTGCCATGAAGAGCCCCATGACCCTTATTTTCTTGTTCTTTTGCTGATTTGTTTTTCTTTGAATAATCTTTTTTATCAAAAATACGTTATCAATTGAAAAAGAACTGCCCCCCGAGATTTAATGCTTTCATGCTGGAAAATAGGTACTGAACGCCAGCATTGGCAGCACCATCTGAGATGCACTCGTAGTCAATAATACTTTTCTTTTACGTTTTCTGCAGGTTTTTGTTGAATGATTCTTCTGAATTTTCCTGGTTTGAAAAGAAAAAACAAAATTCGTCCACGTGTTTCAAGTCCATCGTTCCTACACTTTAAAAAAATGCCTCTTCTGTCTTAATAAAACCTTCATTTTTAATGTATAGCATTTCTCTTAGCATTTGCAGCTGCGCAGTGGTTCGAAAACGGGTCCATTAACATTAATCATTACAAACGTACATGTACAGGCATAATGTACAAAGGTCGCGCTATCGTGGATAAGATTTTTTCTCTCTTTTGTTTCTAGATGAAAAATAGTTAAAAAGTAACGCAAACCAGAACGACGACGCGCACTAGAACTTGTATGTTTACAAAAATTTCGTACTCGCTTGCTGTACATGTATCAGTTGTAGATATTAACGTAAATTGTTGTTAGTGTGGTCAAGATACTAGTAATCACGTCGTATAAAAGTGAGCATAAAAAAATGTAAAATACAGATAACGGATGAAAAATTCGAAGCCACGGACTTTAAAGATTGGAGGGACGCAGTATGTAAGTGTATGTAACTATGCTGAAGATCTCGGTTTATGGGATCCAGATAAAAGACTTACGTTGAATTATGGATACCGTCCTTGCGAGTGATGAAGTTTGCTTTACTCAAACGGACGTACATAGTTGGGCTTTCCTGAAAAGTTGAATTCAGCTTCTTATGACACGTTTATGTATAAAATAAAAAGTACTGATGGGCTTCGAGAAATCTCGGGGATTCCAACGTCTTCTGCTACTTTTTTTTTTGTTTTCTTAATTGTTAATACGGTAAATTTGTTGTTTTTTAAACTCTAATACTCTGCTTTTTTCATATTGGATAAATACGGTGAAGTAATCTTTTTATGTGGAGTTTCGCTGTAAATTTGTTACAAGTGT